GGGCGCTGCAAACGTTACGAGGGTATATTATATATTTTTGGAATGCTGATAACGAGGGTTATCATTATTTTGATATAGCTTTTTGGTAACCCAGGGCCTTTGGTCTATGAGATTTTTATTCCCATTTAGTTTAAGACAAAATATGCAAAAATATGAGTGTTGTGTTTGAGGGTTAATTTTCAACGTGTGAAAAACTAGTGTTTTGAAAGACTTATAGGACTCGTACTCTAGAAGTAGGAAATACTGATTTCAATGCCATTGAATATGTGCACCCATTTGAAGGTTGTTTTGTTATTTAAGCACTTGGCACTTGATATTGAGTTTATATAACTTATTATACCTTATAAAATATCTCATTTCATATAACAAAGTAACATTATTGGATATACAGTATTTTGAAATTGTGTACCCAATATACAAAGAACTCTTCTGTATAGTGTACAGGTAATAATGGTCTATAGACAATTGTTTGAAAAAAATTAATTTTAATTTATTTTAAACACATTGAATTAGTAAAAATTGCTAATAATATTATAAATTAAGTTAGTTTAGGTTAGGTTTAATTAATTAATTTAAGTTTATTTTTTCAAACAAGTCATTGACCAAGTAACAATAATTAAACGAGCATGGTTGCCTAATGTAACTCTTTATGGATTGAAAATGATAGTTCTATTTTGTAGATTAAAAATTAATGTGTACAGGATCTAGATATAACAATTTTTGAATTTTGAAAATTTTATATGGCAATGTATATTTTTACATTATTTATTATTTACATATTTGAAATTATTTGTAAATATAAAAATAAATATATTTATTAAAATAGATAATCAAAAATTTAAGAAGAATACTGTATTTATTAAATTAAAAATTATTTAATAAAAACATTGAAAATCATTATTGAATGTAAGAAACGATAAAACAAATAAATTATTTGTCAACCAAATTAATGTAAAGATTGTGTGCTTTTAGGCGATCGAAAATACCGGTGCCTTCGAATAGTAAGCCCGGAGTAAACACACCGCCACTGAAATTGAAAACACAAATATTTTTAATTACTTTAAATAACATGATACAATGAAATTAATTATAAATAAAATAATAAATGTACTTTTCTGGCAATTTATCAAATTCTTTAATTAACGTAATGCCCGACTGAACCAAACAAGTACTGGTGGCCCGATATCCCGGATCAAAACCGGTCACTTCAACCATAACAGTCTTATTGGGCGTCTCCGTGGGTTTGTCGGTGGGTTCGGACAACTTCTCGCTCCAACCTTTGCCTACAATAAGCAATCTAAAGGTTGCGGCCATTATCTGCTCGCGTGTCGGACCAGTCTTTGTAAATCTGCCGAACGAGAAGACCGACGGATAGGACTCGAGTAGAGATCGGCCCCAACGGAAGGGCGCCATCACTGCTA